AAATCGATATCAATTCCATCTGCGAATACACTATGTATGTTGAAAATCAGTGGATTGTTTTAGATTTCCCTAAAATATTGTTATAGATCTTTACCACATATGAAAACAGTGTTTGTGTTGTGGTTTTAAAATAAATGAATGTACATAAAACATTTCGAACACGTGTTAACTTCGTACCAAGGTAGTAATAAGTCTGGAAATCTGGTTTACACATAAACTCGCGTTTAGTACCCAAGACACGCAAGGAAAATCGGTAGAGACAGCAGTGATTTCATTGCCCGGAAATGTCGCTTAGCACACACATATTTGAATATAAAAAAATATATAAATGTATTCCAAGCAGTACTGTGCGTGTTGATTTATATAAATAACACGATGATATGCAGCTCGTACTAAATCTGCTTTAGGCCCTTGTAGGCGTGTACGAATAGGCATGGCTAATTTAACCCACTCATATTCCGCAGCGATATTGGCTAGAAAACAACAATGGTGTAATGAACATAGGTATGATGTCGACCGAGGTCGACATGAATCCAGTATTGAATGGCGGGACGACACAAGCAAACGGGCAGGATGCCAAGTATAAAACCGTGTTCGGTGGAAGAAAAATGACCCTGTTCTGTTGCCATGTCTATTTCGCGGCATGCATGTACCTTTCGTCTCTCTGTGCGATCGTGGCGAACGACTGGATTCCAAACCCGGAAATCCATCCTCCATTAGACGACGTGTTATTCAGAGCTATACCTCCGCTGGAATCCGGCAGCACCATCGCCAACATTGCTTTAGTTGCATCTGCGGTCATAAACATAGCTATGATAGCAAAGCAGAAATACATTTTAAGGTAAAAAATTCAAGATAAATTACCGTTTTAATGGTAATATTAATACTATTGTTATCAATAATATATATAACATATTTTTGTGTGTGTATGGAATCCAATATTGATATGCGAGACGTATTTCGACGTGATGTCTTGTATTGTCATACTGTGCACAATGTTGATAATAATTCCCAAACATAACCATGCGAAGTTCAAGGATATTTTTGATTATGCTAACTCTGATTCTGAATATATTTAGCGGGTCAACTATTCAAATGAATGTTTGAATGCAATATTTTAGCATCTGCTTGTACATTTATTTATTATCAATGATTTGATTGTTTTCATTATCGTGATACACAACGAGAAAATACGTATACTAAAAATGTATGCAGATGTATTCATGTTCCCGTCCAAACAGAAATACACCGGGTATTTATGCGGGTCGAAAACGCGAACCCCATCTATCAAATAACGTGGATTCGCTACCTAATACTACATCCTATACCTATTGAGAAACTATTCGTGAAACATATTTCGTTTTTTCTAGCATTTTTTGTCAGCAATAATGCGTCTATTTATTATTGCCAGATTCGTCATTTTACAGAGATTTCTGTACACATTGCCAACAATGTTTCTAATGAGAGCGTTCACGATGACTGTGACGTCACTTCCGATGCCGGAAACTGCTATCCCGTGTATGCCAAAGGTAACGAATGTATTACACGTAGTTACCAAAAACATTATGCGTATATGACATACCGCGCCAACAGGTTACATCTTGCACATTCAAATTAACACTCTGATCTCGCAAAAGATGACTGAGCGAAGCAGGAGTTGTTGTTGGTGGTGGTGTGATATAGGAGATCATTTAAATGTGTGCTTATTTTGTTACAAATTTAAAACGCATTGTAGAGCCAACTCACGCCTCTATAATAATTGGTAGGTACTGGACAAATAATTTGTTGTAAAGCCTTTATAGTACAGTGGATTTAGGGTTTGACCCGGAATAAAATAGTACATTAGCGAATTTTGTTTCAAAAGTTGGCTAAGGTCTTTGAGAATGACCAAAATAACCCCATAACCTTAACCGTTGGGCAATTTTTTTTAGAGCATGTTGAAGATTTATTGTTTTTTAACACTGATTTTACCTACCGCAGATGCAATAACCTCTAATTACCTCTAATTACCATTGGAATGTATTACTGTATAGCTACAATATTTTAAAAACAATGAATGAAATATAAATCTGCATCTGTAACAGATCACTTCAACATGCATGATGACGTCATTGCTGACGTCAGAAGTCCGTCGACATTGTGAAGTCGATGTCTTTTAAAAGCTAGTAGTCCAGTCAATCTAATTTGATTTTTAGGTCAACCCGGACAAAATTGCAACAGAAAGTTTCTTTGCAGATTTAGCAACAATGGACATCTATAAACAACATATCAAAAGTCTACCAAAATCGGGCAAAGGGAAAGTTAATTTTTTCAGGTATTGATATTGCCCATATAATGGAAATATTAAGCCATTTTATTGATGCAGTAAGTGGTACATATACAAATGCATATGGGATAATAATGGTCAATATATCCACATATTTATCACACTTACCACACTTATCATATTTAGTCAGCCAAACATTTTTTTGCGCATGGTGAAGCAAATAGCGCCCTCTATATGGATGTACAGCGCCACCAAGTGGTGATATTTTCAGAAATATACAGGGTCTGGTATTAGTCTTGTTTCATTGGCATTTTGTCAGTATAAATTCTACACAATATGGAAAACTCTGCGATTATTGGTCATATATCATTTTCATTATTAAAAAACAAAATTTCAGGAATATTTGGGGCATATTTAGATCCATCATTTGCCAAATCAACATGATACTTTGCTGCAGTCGGTCTCCATAACTCGCACCTCCCACAAATTATACATCTGCATAAAAACACACAAATGAATCATGTTTATCAAAGTATATGTGATTGTATCATGTAAAGATTGGTGATACAATGGTAATAAATATGAAAGACATTTCACAGTTACAGGTATGTGGAATGTGGCAATGATCACATAATGAAGGGGGCTCATATCACGGTTTGATGTGGTAATATCAAAAGAGTGATTGGCAAGACTTGTGAGGTATCGATTATATCAAGTTTGTGGTAGAATGAGACAGTTACAAACTAACATGATCAGACTTGTGTTTTGTCATACCTTCATTCTGTTTGGGATTGGTATGAAAATAGGTTGGTTGGTTGGCTGGCCAATCATCAAATCAAGTCAGTATAATTCTAAGTTTATAATATTATAGTTGATCATCATCATCATCAAGATCCAGATTGGTTGAATTTCTACAGCTTACACCTCTACATTCATCACACATGGGAGAGCATTTTAGTCCATGTTTTCTACATGTGCAACGTGTCGTTCGACAGTCTGCTTTACATTTACATTTACATCTGATAACTGTTAGTAATTTGTCAGGTGTCAGGTGTCAGGCTTGTCAGTTTGGATAGCAAGCAATTTTCCCTTCTTCACTTTCCAGCTCCATTCTTCTGGATTAACATGAGTTTGCCCTTTCCACATCAGAACCTGGTGGTATACCCGTGGACTATGGTAACCTACAGCTGCAGATGTTGGTGGAATATTCTCAGGCCCTACACATGTAACGCTTGTAGCAACTTTCTGAAAGAATTTTCCCATTGTGAGTGAATCCAATGTTTCATCGGACTTGTCATCATATAAAAGGACCAGAGCTTTTTCTCCTGACTCCATAATCACAATGTCGTCTTTTGAAGCATCATCTTGGTCAAACACTGAAGCATGACATTGAAACTGCTTGTTGGTTTGGATTTTTTTCAAGGACAAACCCTTTCCTAAGCCATATATCCTGGATGTGGTGTCACAGCCCAGGACAGCATGTATAAATAATATGTTTTTGCAAACAAGTGGTCCTAGTTTGTCTTTGGTATGTTTTATGTCTCACACTTTGACTTCGTTTTTTGTATTTCGCAGTGCCTCTGGTTTTAACTACAGTTTGTGACTATTTGGGTTGACATGGTAGATCAACAACACTAACAAGTCTGTGTCCTCACTTACAACTACCATTGGTGCATTGAGAGCAGAGTCTACAGCTGTCATCACTATAAGGACATCTGCATCTTCTTCAGCATTTCGAACCTTGATTCCCTTCACTTCCAGTTCAGTTCCCAGGATATTAATGAACCGCTGCTTATTTGCTGCATTTGCAAGAAACTGTTGTTTCTTCATTATTCATAACCATGTCAGAATCAAAGTAAACACCAGTAGACATTTTCCCTATTGAACGCCTAGGATGAGTTGTGTCTTTTGTTGATGGTCTATCTGGATATCCATCAAAAACAACTGTTGATTCTTTACCGTAATTGCGGTCAATGTAATCAAGGTAAAGTTTGCAGATGTCCTTATATGTTAGTCCTCGTGGCCATGGAACTCTCTGTAAAGTGAACCTCCATCAATAACATACTTAACCTCAATGGACATGTCACTAGTAATGGGACCAACACATTTCCAGACTGCTTCGGCTAAAACTGGCTTGTTTGCTTCCCGCATCAGTGCATCAGAGGCAAACAATGCTGGTGGATGAATACACAGCTCATATGTGAAAAGACTGGACAACTCGTCTGTTGATACAATTCCCCTTGCAATGGAAACAAGTCTTTGAAATAACAACTGGGGATCAACTTGTACTTCATCTGCATCAAGCTTTAATGATGTTTTCACACAGCCTGTTTTTTTTAGTGAATGAAAAATCACTCGCGTTTTTTCCAATCATAGACTTTATTATTTCAGGACCAATAGACCAAGCATTATTGACATTTACTGTGTCATTAGCAACAACTCCAGTAGCTATACTACATAGAGAAGAGTTGTTTTTTGCATGAAGAAACTGTACCAACTCCATTAGGTCATTATGATCTCTAATTTGCTTGGTCTTTGCACTCTCTTTGTGTTGCTTACTTGTGATGTAAGAAACACCAGTGAACTCTTGCATTGCACGATTGACTTCTGCAAATACAGGTGTTGATAGTAGCCAAACGGTACGTTGTATTTCTGACATACCTCTACCCCTTGTCAGCCCACCACTTGTTTTGACACTCCACATCAACACTTGTTCAATTGCCTGACCACATGGTATCCATTCAGGAATGATCGAAATACATCAGCATTACTTTCTGGTAGTTTTGGCATAATCTGAAAATATATGTACACTGACTTTGCATAAAGATTATGGCCAGATGCAGTATGGAAGCATGTCTGGAAAAGCTTTTGGATGGAGAGACCAGTTACCAGTTCTTTCAGCTTTAATGAACTTCTGGAGTATTTCAATCGTCTCTATGTACTGTAGCCATAACTTGGATGTTCTAAGGAAAGCGAGTGTTTCCTTGAATTGGTTGATTTTTTCCTGTATTAGAGTCAGTACTTCCTCCGAACAAACCGATTCTATCTCTGTCTCGTGTGCAATCAGCCTCTCTAGGATGGTTCCTGCTTCTTTCAACTCATTTGTTGTATCTTCTGTTTGTGACTGATTTGCATTACTGGAATCGCCATGTTCGGGTATATCTGTTAATTCACTAGCACTGGTATTTTCTTGGTAATGGAAGGTCATACATCATTGACAAAAGCAATGCATATAATGCTGCTGCCACTAGAATGTGACCCCTAATAGCCCTTGGAATGGCATTGCCACTCAACATATGTCCAACAGCATTCTCGGCATAAATTGTCTCCAATAGTTTCTTAAGTCCAGATCCACTCATCGAATGTCAAGTGCAACCCAGAAAACTCATCTGCACATGCAGACCACCCAGTCTGAGAACAATATTCCTCACACTGCTACTTGTGGGCTCATTATGTTGGATTCCCAGTGATTTCCATCACAAAGGCTGGTCGAAGGT